CCTGTCCAATTGACTGCCATATATCTCTCAATTTCTCTGGAGGAAGGCTGCAGGTTCCAGTGCTACAAACTGCCCATCAGCCATTTAGCTAAACCATTCATCCTGCCATTGGTCTAATTTGGAAAATACAACTCTACATAACTCAACTCAACTCAACAAAGTATTGTCCTAACTATAGGAGGTCGGCCTTGAATTCTGTTTTTCCATTGTTTTTCTATCAAGTACCATGTTTTCTTAGGTTCTCAGCTAATTTCAATCTACCTCCTTGCCTTATATGACCATCAATAGGTATCACATCACTCTTCCTATGTGCAGTAATGGATCTTCTACAAGCATGTCCAAATTGCTAACTCAATATCCCTTAATTTGTCTCCTATAACTACTACTTCTATCATTTCACAAATATGATCTTTCTTAGTTATATCATTTATTCATTATTTCTGCCACATTTGGTTTTTGAGCATGTAATTTCTTAGTTGCTCAACATCCAGATGTATTTCTCCGCATAGTATATCATGCTTTGGTTCTATGGTGACATTGTTTCCAATCTAATCCTCCCTATGAATAATAGACCCCAAATATCAAATGCGTTCACTCTTTGATATCTGCTATTTACTAAAAATTGAAATAGAGAAAAGTAAAATTACTATTTGTTGCATAATACTGGAAAGTTTGATCCATAAGATCACTTAGAGGATATGACTTCTTCCTCATTGTAATTCCATGTTGAATTTTCTGCTTTTAGTATCTTTATGAGCTAAGATATGTCTTCAGTTTCCAAGTTTCACCATTTTCAGAATGCGTACCAATCATTCCAAAAGGATTTGCAGATTAATACCTCAGTCTAGGTTGGTCAATTTTCTTGAATATAAGCAATCAGTTACACTCGTCTACTTTTTGGTTAATTATAACCACCATTTGGAATCCAAGCTAGTTTTCCCATGTTAGTAAGGCTTAAGAGATGACCTTTTTGAGACTCTCAATTATTTGTTTGTGACTACTACATAAAGGCTTAAAAATACCTATTCATTTTTATTTACATGTTTTGTTGGCTGTGTTTGGAAAAAATAAGTTCATGTAACATACTTTATCAAGTACTTTTGCTTACGTAATATTGTCTTGGGTTCTCAGCTGAATAGTTTCAAGTCGATTCTGTAAATCTGAGTTGATGTGGTTGAGTTAATGAGCTGTCTTAATTTTTTACTGGCTTGATTCTGGATAAGCATTCAGAAAAGGAATAATTGATGGATTCTATTAAGTGTGAACTTCAATTCATCTTTTAAACTCTTCCATTTCCAGGCCTTTTCACAAATGCGTCTATCTGAAGCTTCTGCTCATCTTGGATCATTTTCTGCTCGAATTAAGGAAGAGCCTTTCCATGTACAAACAAACATGGGAAGAGAAGGGCAGATTGGGACATCATGGATAACCTCCACTGCTGTGAAAGCTGCTGATGCAATGCTTTCAACATGTCCATCACCTTATGAGAAAAGATGCTTATTACAGCTACTTGCTTCAACCGATTTTGGTGATGGAGGATCTGCTGCAACTTATTATCGACGACTTTATTGGAAAATCAATTTAGCAGAGCCTTCATTGCGCAAAGATGATAATCTACATCTAGGAAATGAGTCTCTAGATGACTCTTCACTTCTAACTGCGCTAGAAAAGAATGGACACTGGGACAGGCACGCAATTGGGCCAGGCAGTTGGAGGCTAGTGGTGGACCTTGGAAGTCTGTTGTACATCGTGTTACTGAAACACAGGTATATTTACTCATTATAACTCCACCTATATTGCAGCATGTTGTTAAATTTTTCATAAAGTCTCTCCCCAATCTCTTCCCCATTTTCCACTGTTGCCTCAGTTCTTTCCCCTGATTCTGTAAGTGTCTGTGAAGGGTGCTTTTGAAGTAATGCCTTAGTTTTCACATTCCTCATTACCGCACCGATCCTTGCTAAACTGTTTCAATAAGTTTGCATGATTGCATGCTATGGCATCGTGGTACATCCTTGCTCCATGGTATGGGGCTGTTGGAAGTTTTGGCTGCTTTGTGGAGAGGAGAGATCGCCAAAAATTCTGTGACTTAAGTATCTGAAAATTTGCATTTGGATGTGCTGTTTACAGCAAGGGGCTTTCTTGTTATTAATAACATGGTCCTCTATGATTTTTCCCAAGTTCATGATAAGTTTTTGTGCTATAAGACTGGAATGTCTTACTATTTTATCAGTAGTTGGTCTTTTCTAACTAACTAGTAGGCTTCTGTAAAATCTTCAATTAAAAATTGAACATTATACTTAGAAGATATTTATATTAAGCGGTAAGGGTCCTTTCCAAAATAAAGAAACTGAAGTAGCTGAGTTCCTCAAGTTAGAAGCTTCCAACCTATCTCATTCTGCTGCTTTGGTCTCACTGTCAGTTGTTTTTTTGGGTACATTTACTACTTTGTCCTTGTTTTATAGATATGAATTCCTGAATAGATTTATGGCATATAGCTGAATTCAGTAAATTTATTCAAATGTTAATTTATAGGATTGGTTGTGCTAGTCATTTTTCAGGAAAAAAATATTGAAGGATAGAGAGAGTTGAATATGTAGGCATAGGTGATGGTAAACTCCTCTTTCTGGTAGTAGAAGGGAAGCTCGTTAGGTTATCTCGTGCGGTAAGAAAAAGTGCAAGTTACTTCTAAGAGCGACTGTAGCCTTTCTCATGTAGCACTCAATTCTACCGATAAAAAACACTTAAAGCCTTTTGTTGAGATGTTTTCGAAGGAGAACAAGAATGAAACAAAACAGGGGAACTCACAGATAAAAGAGTCTCCCGCGCCCATTACACTCTCTTAGACTTCCTAATTGTCTTTAAGCACACGTCACTGCTCCTACTGTTAGATTCAGTAAACAGCACAGGGGACCAAAATCAAGAAGTCATCCACTGCGCCCCGAACACTCCCCAAGGGGGAATGATTTTTTTTTTGATATAATATAAATATTAGTAAGAGATATAAGAGGCAAAAGAAATATAGGTGGAGGACAACATATTCTCAAAAGAGAGAAGAAAGGATCTTTCAACTCTTGAAATATTAGTTTTGAAGAGAGCTTGTATCCCACATCAAAAAATTAAGTAGATCCAAGGTTGGTTTATATACTTAAAGACGACTCCACTCATTGCCAATTGGTTTTGGGTTGGATGTTGTAACATGGTAGTTGAGCTTGGTCGGGGGTGGTTGGTGAGTCAAAGTCACTCAACCAATTGATTTCCACAACCTATTTACTTGTCTGTTTCGGTTGGCCCTTAGCTTGTGTTTTCTGTTTTGCTTTAGTTTGGTTTGTTAGCACCCATGCAAGCCCGGGTTGCACGTGAGGGAGGGTGTGAAGAGACTCAAGAGAGCTTGTATCCCATAGCAGAAAATTAAGTAGACCCAAGGTTGGTTTATAAACTTGAAAGACCACCCCCTTATTGCCAATTGGTTTTGGGTTGGATGCTCTAACAAGTCTCAATTCAACTCAAACCAACAAAGCATTGTCTCAACTGTTTGGGGTCGAATTGGTGAATTTAGTTTCATCAATGTATAGTCTCTTTTTCAACATTCATCTAACAGGTTCTTTCTATAAGACCCTGATATAACTCCTCGAAACTACCCAAAAAAAAATTTGGTTCATTTTTCTAGTGGCGTTCACATTAAGCCAAAGGTCCCATTTGGGAAAAAATGAAAACTTATACAATCTCACACCTATTTTTTAGTTATTGTTTTGGCATTAAACCCTGTCGTTTTCTTACTATTGTATTTCTTTTTGATTTCGTCTCGGATTTTAAATAATTAAAATTTGCTTCTTCAAGTTTAATAATGTTATGGAGATTAATAAATATCCTAAAGTTAGTATTTGAGATTTCTAAATTGTCCCCTCAATATTACTAACCTTGAACCTGTGTAGAAGTTTTGAACATTGCCTCTCAATTGATTCATTCACTTCTGATTCTTCTCCTTGCATCATCATGTTTTCAACTCCAAAACCCCATTCCAACTGCTCAGTTGGCAGACATGGGGTTCAATTCCGTTAGCACTCCAGTCTAACCATTTTCAGATTATTCATTATAGCTACAGGCAAACTTCTCTTACTCTCTTTAGGGTATAAGATAATGAAAGTGGTCAGTTTGAATGTTTCTAGTTGTCATTTTGTTTTGTTGTCACTGATCTTTTTCTTCTATTGTTACTCTAAAAGTATTCGGACACAACTATATCGTTAACTTTTTATGTCCTTTGTTATGCAGCAAGCACAAGTTTCGTTCTTTTGCCAAGTGTTATACAATATTTTCTGTGTTCTGATTTTATTTATGTTGCATCTTTATGATGCCTACTCTCCTCCCCCCCCCCCCCCCAAAAAAAAAAAAATGTCAATTCTAGGCCGAGTCCATGGTAGCAGAGTGGAAGGAGTTTCTTTGGGATGTCCCAGAAGAGAGAGTTGCTTTATGGGGCCACTGCCAGACACTGTTCCTCAGATATTCCTTCCCAGCATTGCAGGTGTGTTTTATTCATTACCTGCAAAAATTGCTGAGCAGTGAAACAAAGTTGTGTTTTTGTTGCTTTTATATGTACTACTTTTTTACATGCTGTTGGTTCAGGCAATTGCTTATTATTTGCTGAGATGTACTGCTGTTATTTTGTTGTAGGCCGGATTATTCTTCCTTAAACATGCAGGATCTGTGGAGAAAGATCTTCCAGCAAGAGAGCTCCATGAACTGTTGCTTCTTTCTCTACAATGGTTAAGTGGGATGATAACGCAGTCCAACCCGTAAGTGATTTCACCCAAATCTATATTTCTTCACATTTTCGTATAAAATTTGTCCTTTTAACCTGTGCACTGAATATTTCAGAGTTTATCCATTGAATCTTCTGAGAGAAATTGAGACTAGAGTTTGGTTACTAGCGGTAGAATCAGAAGCTCAGGTAAAGAGCGAAGGAGACTTTACCTTAAACAGTTTTATCCGGGAACCTTGGGCTGAAAAGGGTTCCAATATTATAGACAGCACTGCAAGTATTATTACAAAAATGGACTCTCATATAGCAGCAAGGATGAAAGCTACCGAGAGGAGTGATGCAAGGGAAAATATCCAGACATATCATAAGTTCGCCCAAGTTGTAGATGCTAGCTTTTCAACTACATCAGGAGTGAGCACAAAGACCAAACGGAGAGCCAAAGGCTTTGTGCCATCAAGACGGCCTTTAATTGATGCAGTGGATAAAACCCCGGAATCTGAAGATGGTATTCTTCCCCTCAATCCTAGAAGCGACTTGCATTTGCAAGATGAAAACTTTAGAATTGAAGCATCTTTTTCAAGGTGGGAGGAAAGGGTTGGACCTGCGGAGCTGGAGAGGGCTGTTCTTTCTTTGTTGGACTTTGGACAGATCTTAGCTGCCAAACAACTCCAACATAAGCTTTCTCCATCGCACATTCCATCTGAAGTCCTACTTGTTGATGCAGCTATGAAGCTTGCTTCTATTTCAACGCCTGGTGGCGAGATATCCATATCAATGTTGGATGATGAAGCGTATTCTGTTATTCAGTCATACAATTTAGCCACTGACCGCCATTTGATTGTCCCACTACAGGTTTTAATTATAATCATTTTCTTGTTTCTTTTCACTTAAGTTCCTGCATGCATCTAAGTGTGACATATGCAAGACAGCTCACTTGCACATCATTTCCTCCCAATGTTAAGGAATTGACCATTATCATCCACTAGTTTCAAAGTTGCCATTATTTTGGCCAGATTTGGTATATTTAATTGTAGACTGGTTTTTTGTGCACCATATTTCGAAATGAAAGTGTATTAACCTGCCCTATTATAAGCTTTTTGTGATTTCTCCCTTTCTTTTCTTTCTATGGGATCTTCTGCTATTTGATGTATGCATGTTGAGTTTGATTATCCTTTTTCTGACCTTATGCAATTTCTTTTGCTACTGTAGGTATTGGAGAGTTTAGCAACCATGATTGTGGAAGGTAGAGGCCGTGGACTATGTAAGAAAATTATATCAGTAGTGAAAGTTGCAAATGTATTGGGCCTTTCATTTTCCGAAGCATTTGAAAAGCTGCCAATTGAACTGCTACAGCTGCTTTCTCTTAAAGCACAAGATTCTTTCGAGGAAGCAAAGCTCCTTGTGAAAACACATTCTATGCCAGCTGCTAGTATTGCTCAAATTCTTGCAGAATCCTTTTTAAAGGTGACTTTTTCTTTTGCACAGAAATCTATTGCATAAGCATGTTGATTATTTCAACTCATTTGGTGTACATTTGGCATCTGTGATGGGGTAAGAAAGATACCTATGGTCTCGGTAGGACAATTGAGTGGGCATCTACTTGGTTTATGACTCCATACATAATTCAGATTCATTTTAGTGTTCGAACATCGTCTCCCTGATTGGATCATACAGGATTATGCATTTTGATTTAGGTTTCATGACTTGGACAATTCCATCTGTTTTTATGTTGGGATCGGACTTGTTTTAATGAGTTAAAAATTAAAACTTGACTAATTACTCTGATACATTCCAGGGTTTATTAGCTGCACATCGTGGGGGATATATGGATAATCAGAAAGAGGAAGGACCTGCTCCTTTACTATGGAGGTTCTCAGACTTCTTGAAGTGGGCCGAGCTTTGTTCCTCAGAACCAGAAATTGGCCATGCATTGATGCGTTTAGTGATTACAGGACAGGAAATACCACATGCCTGTGAGGTACTATTGTGGTTGGGATAGTTGCTGTCAATTTAAAATTATAAGCTTAACATGGATAAATGAATCCAGTTCCTGTTGTATTTTTTAATCAACATTTCAAAATCTCCCCATCTCCGTCATGTTATTGAAGGCTTGATTATCAAGTAAACTTCACCATATGATTATATGTATGGATATCTAACTACCCCTATTTACTTAAATCAAAGATTGTTATATCGTTAGCTCCTCTAGAAAATAGAAGGAACATCTAGCCATTGAGTTGTTTCTTGACACTGTCATCTCGGTTAGATGGGGACACTTACTCTTCCCTGAAATATGATGTTACAGGTTGAGCTTCTTATTCTATCCCACCACTTCTACAAGTCTTCAGCTTGCCTTGATGGAGTTGACGTTCTTGTAGCTCTTGCAGCCACCAGAGTGGATGCGTATGTTTCAGAGGGTGATTTTCCATGTTTGGCTCGCCTGATTACTGGAGTTGGAAACGTCCATGCCCTTAATTTCATTCTTGGAATTCTTATTGAAAATGGTCAGCTGGACCTTCTTCTTCAAAAGTATTCAGCTGCTGCTGACACAAACACGGGCCCTGCTGAGGCTGTCAGAGGATTTCGAATGTCAGTTCTCACATCACTGAAGCAATTTAATCCAAACGATCTGTATGCATTTGCCATGGTTCGTGTTTTTCTATAGTCTCTGAATACACTTTTTTTATGTTTTGTAAGCAGTTGTCTGAAAATAATTACTGATTCGTTTCGGCCATTCCGTAACGAAATTTTAATCCCCGTCATCTTTTTCTGCAGCATTACTATCTATGTACCTGGCTGTATAGTACACATAATGTTTGTTATTGAGGAGGGTTTCAAATCAAGTCTCATTGGCTGACACCATGACTTTGATACTAGGCTTTTGATGATCCTTGCCATGTTATCCATCTACCTTGAACTTAGTTTGAAGGCTTTCCAAAATATCAGATGTTTGGAATGTTTCTAATCACATTTTCTTAGAGTGAGGCAGTTTCCTAGACAGGTGGTCCAAATATTTTGATGCATTTTTTACATGTGGGTGCACATATAGCAAGTAACAGTGCACGATGCCAGTCTCTTTTTATCGGTTGTGAACTTGACCATTCTGACAACTATATTACAAGCACAAACAGTCTGCACAACAATAATTACTAAGTGTCATTTCACGGTGTGGATGGTGTAATTCAACCTTTATCTTTTCTATTCTTGAGGACATTCATTTCTCTAATGCCAAAGAAGCTCAAAATAGCTTATTAACTTCTTCTCTACTTCCATAAAATAATAACATTGCCGTTTTCCTCCTGCAGGTTTACAATCACTTTGACATGAAGCATGAAACAGCCTCTCTTCTGGAATTGCGAGCTGAGCAATCATCTCAGCAGTGGTTCTTACGTTACGACAGGGACCAGAATGAAGACCTCCTAGAATCAATGCGCTATTTCATTGAAGCTGCTGAAGTTCACTCTTCTATTGATGCTGGCAACAAAACACGTGCCGCTTGTGCACAAGCATCCCTTGTCTCTCTTCAGATACGAATGCCAGATTTCCAGTGGCTCAATCTCTCTGACACTAATGCACGACGAGCACTAGTTGAGCAGTCCCGTTTCCAAGAGGCACTGATTGTTGCTGAAGCCTATGGTCTTAACCAGCCTAGTGAGTGGGCCCTCGTACTTTGGAATCAAATGCTTAAACCAGAGCTTATTGAAGAGTTTGTGGCTGAATTTGTTGCTGTTCTTCCTCTCCAGCCCTCAATGCTTGCTGAACTTGCAAGATTTTATAGGGCTGAGGTGGCAGCCCGGGGGGATCAATCCCATTTCTCAGTTTGGCTGACGGGGGGAGGGCTTCCAGCAGAATGGGCGAAGTATCTAGGAAGATCATTTAGATGCCTGTTAAAGAAGGCTAGAGATTTGAGATTACGGGTGCAGCTGGCCACTGTGGCAACTGGTTTTGGCGATGTTATTGATGCTTGTGTGAAGGTACTGGATAAGGTCCCTGACAATGCTGGGCCACTTGTGCTAAGAAAAGGGCATGGAGGTGGTTACCTCCCTCTGATGTAAACTACCGACTCTGGTGGATATAACAGAGATGTTCTTTTGTGACATGATGTTGATGATCACGGCATGATAGGTCAACAATGAAGATGATGATGGTGATGATAAATTCCCGAGACTCCATTACGAAGAGGTCAACATGTATCGTGTGAATATTAGGTATAGTTGGAGATTAGATAAAGGGTTGGTTTAATAGATTTTGCTCCTATTCTTTTTTCCTTTTCCCTTTTGAGCTTCACAAGCAGCAGAGGGTACCTGGAAGAAAATACAGGTAGTTTAGTTCAATGTGAGCGATGTCTTGGGAAGACTTGTGATTTTGACACTTATATTTTTTCCCCCCAAGTCTTTTGAAATCAGGGGTGAGTTTAATGCGTGTGTTGGGTGTTATTGTTTCTGTAGCAGATGTACATTATTTTTTCACAAGGTTGTACATATTTTTATCAATGAATCTGTTCCTACTTGGTTGAATTTGTTTTCATCTTCATTTTGATATTTAAGTTTATATTTTTAATTAGGTTAATTTCACTTTATACCTCTAAAGATGTTTCAATTCTTAATTTGTACCATCAAATATTAAAAATATTAATTTACACTCTTAATGTTATGCATTGGTACTAATGTGGACCGCGCATAGGTTGTTGTTAAGTGCTTCAAGTGTGGGCTTATGTGTAAATTTATTGGCTGTTAGACTTTTTATATGACTTGCACATGATAATGTTAGTTTCTATCTAATTAATGCAATCATATTTTTGATACACAAAAAAGTGTCAAATTGATCGCAGATAAAGAATTGTAGTGATGAATATACTTCATTTTTATGTCTAAAGCATTTGTATCTCGCGTGTTTTAATTTATGACAAAAAATTAAACGACAGTCTGGATCAGTTTTACATTGTTATCAATTCATAACATTGAGAATGTAAATTGAGATTTCTAATATTTGAGAATGTAAATTGAGAATCAAAGCATCTTTCGAGGTGTAAATTGAGATTAGCTTTTTTTAATTTATGGTTTTATTGGAGCTCAAATTTGTGGTTACAGCTCATGATTATTATCGGCAAGTATGTATCAATTTTCCGAGAAGTATACGGTTCTTGTTTGTAGTTCAAATTTGGAACCAAGTGCAGACCAAGGAGACTTTACCACTTGTAAAGCAATGCAGTGTGATTTGAATTACAGCACTAAACTATGGAGTAGCATGTATAAAAGACCTGATGCAAATCCCTTGGAGTTGCTCTGGTATAGTATGGTTAGGTAATTTGGGCATGCTTTAATCATGTATTGGTTCAATGGTCGAATAACGGACGAAGTGTAAATTTATATGTCCAATATTTTAGTTTCTCTAGCCATATAAAATAGTAAGTTGCACTGATACGAGTGGATAAAACGTGATTGTGTATCCTATATCTATTTTACAGTCAAAGAACGATTGATTGAAAAGACATTCGTTCAAGAAAGACATATTTGAGAATCATGAGAATAATTTGGCAGCGTCTAAAGGGGGAAAAGGAAATATTATATATAAAACTTATTTTTTTTTTTTGACGAAACAGATTATAACATCACCTCCTTTGCAAATGACAAAAAAATGCCCCGTCTCTTTGTATCATACATAGAGTATACCTACACACTTTCTGAAATGAATTTTATCGAGAGCAGAGTCTGAGTAGCTCTTCGCTTGGTTGTACAAGGTGCAGCTCGAGGGGACTACTATGCTCACCGTGTTCCCTCTTCGCCCAGCTCCTATTGTAAAAAAATCAAAATTTTCCATTCGTGCGCTTAAATTTGTATCCAATCTACCTCTCTCAGCACGCAGCATAAATTACATCCACAGAATAATGGCACCCCCAATTCATGGAGAAAATATTCATTACAACGGTGATACCACATAACAGTGCGATGTGGTATCACTAACCAATAATATTAAAATAAATAAATAAACTTAACAAAAATTGTCATGTAAACAAATAACTCCCTAATCTTCCTCCGTGTAAGTCCAAGTGAAATTCACCTTGTCCACTTAGAGTTTTATTATTGGTTGGTGATACCATGTCACCAATGTGACATGATATCACCGTTGCATTCAATATTTGCTCCTACCCATGACAGGCTTAGAGAGAGAGCAACTACATCCCTTGGCCTATCAGGAAAGGAGAATTTTCGCAGTAGTACAGGACTAGAGCTCATTTCACCACTTACTGGGAAAAAAAGCTCATTTCATCACATATGATTCAAAATTAGTTTTCCCAGAATCTCAAGGAAAATCTCAGTCCTTGAGGAACATAAAGATTTCAGTTTTCTCAACGTTCTTGTGCTAATAATGGGATCTAAAAATGAATCTAAATGTAGTAAAATTGAAGAAGAAAGAAAATTACAATCCAGCCATGCAAGCCTTCAAGGATGCAGCTGCATCTAATCTTGCTTTGAGTATGGATCTTGATGAATAGGGCGCCTCTGAGCAAGGTATCGCTTTGTGCTCTCAAGAACACCAAAGAATATTGAACCCCCAATGCCAATCCACAGCACTCTTGGCCCAATACCCTATAGAGAAAGGAAAGTTGAGAACTCCATAAATTTATTGACACAGGATGTTGCATGTTTTCAAAATTAGCTAAGTGCTCTTTTCAAGCTGATCAAGATATGCCACAACCCAAGAATTTTTCGAACCTAACAAGGTTCCAAGGATTTCTTCTGTAATTAGAGTCTAATATATCAAAAGCATCTTCCCTGCATTGACACGACAAAAAATGTTGCTTATATCGGATCATAATTCTACCGAGAATCCACTAATGCTTCATGCCTAAGCTGAGAATAATCCCACTTCCACAGACAGTCAAAATGTAGCTGAACATTAGCCAATGAACTTCCAAGTGTTCTAGCATTACTTTGCATTTTCTCTAAATTTTATGATCCATCTTTATATTTTGCATTTTGGAGGAGGGCAATTTCCTATGTTCCATTTCGGTAAGATTCCTTTGTCTCACCACTTGTCAAGTTTCATCTAAAAGAAGAAAATGTACCCATATTAAAGCTCAAAGCTAGAATGATAAAAACCTCATCACCTCTTGTAACATGAAGACAAAAATACCTTCAAAAGGGCAGGAGGTCCTTCCTCTTTGACAATAGTCTGAACACAATCAAAAATACCTTTGTACTGGTTTGCTGATCCCTGCAGAGGAAAAAAGAGAGAATGCAGTAGCTTGCCAACTGATATATACACGCATTCTGCCATGCATACATTGTGCATTCCTTTCCATATGTATACAGACAAAGATGACACAGAATTAGAAGAACGCAAGGAGCCTGATTGGCCCTACCTGAACCATTAATCTTGTCTTTATCACATCAAGGGGAGTAGTTATAGCTCCTGTAAGTGCACCTATAAGAAATAATAATACCTTACAGAGTATTAGATCTCCATGCGTGCAGTTTTGCAATTCCTCTGTTTCACTATGACAATGAAATTTGGTAATTTCAACTTACAAGCAAACACCCCAAGATTCTGAAGCCATAAAAAAAGAAACAATCTTACAAATCACTGTAAACAATCGAGAACCATACCCACTTTCCTATACGATTGTAAACTGAACGGAACTGAAAGAAAAATGCAATAAGCATGACAAATATTTGCATTTTAGTATTCTAATTCACTCCTGATTAAATTTTCGCCTGTTTTTGTACAGCAGTAGCAGCTTGTAAAAGGTAATGTCGTGTGCAACTTCTCTTTCACTTTTTCTGCCCTTTAATGAACCTCAAGGTAAAATTTATGCAGCTCGAAGCTAAGTGGTGGGACGATCATTCACTTGTGTCCTTTAAAACTCCTAAAATCATGCATGTCATGCAAATTCAAGGATGTAAAAAATACAAACACTGCAGCAAGATGGCACCAATCCAAGTTTTGAAGATTGGAAAAGAATGCACCACAGGAACTCATTATAGGCATATTATTTGTACCACATTCAGACTTTTTCATGATTCTAATTTCTATCTACCATAATTTTTCAATAAAACACAATTTGAACTTCTAGGTATTGAAATCTTGAACAGAAAATTTTGGCTCCTCTGCATCCGTACTGGTTACTTATTTACCCCTGCAACAAAGTTGTCTCCATTCTTCTGTGAAATGAAGCACACCAAATAGACTGCATGGCGATCCAATGGAAATCTATTGTAAATGGTGTCATTTGTTACATGTAATGACCCAAAATGATGGATTTCTACCTTTGATTATAGGGTTCATAAAATCAGTACGGGTGACACCCACTACTTGGAAGGATGTACTGCATGAACAAATCGTTGCTTCAATATGCAAAGCATAAAGGAGATACCACCAGTCATAAATCATGTGAAAATTTTTAGCACTTTGATGGCTATGAGAACAACTGTATCTCAATATATTTAGAAAACACCAATGACACAGGCACGGCATGGCATTCTTCGGCAACAACATACATGTTGATCACACACGATTGTCAGCAACAAGCATGGTACAAATTACACAACATGGTCAGCATTAGGTATTGCACAACTACTGAATATGCATTAGTGCTTAGTCTATAATGTACTAAACCAAATGTGGTACTAGAGTATCCATCTCTACAACATCTTCCATGACTTCGAAATTATTGGAAATTCCCAAGGAGCTCCAAAACCTTATTAGCGCAATATGATATCGCCTACAGATATAATAGTAAATTACCCAAACAGCTCACATCCTTCAGTAGTGTTTCAATTTGTTTTATGAACAAGTTTCAATACTTGAACAAAACACATTACTAATTACTTGAAAAGCAAGATTCCCTGTTCAGAGGTTTCTCACTCTTTCTTTATGCTTCTATTCTTAGGCAATAAATTTATTGAAAAGTTATGGTTTCTCATTACCAGAAGACTAAAAATTACTTGCAGCTTCTCCTTAAAAGAGAGGACAAAAGATGGACATCTATTAAAGATGCATTTTGTGCAACATGCACAAATCATGATGTTCATACCACTTTTTGTGCATCTGTGGTTCATTCTTCCCTTTTTTGGTGATGTGCTACATTTCAAAAGCAAATGTTAAGCCATAACTAAGTTCTGCATCAAATTCCAGTACTAGAGCCCCCAGTAGAGGAGATATGTAAATCGTTAGAGCATGTATAGGCACTTCTCTTTTAAAACCATAGCACAGAAAAGATTCTACTCAATAACCAAATGCACATGATATGAATTGTATATGTACTGTCAAAGACGTCATGATATAAATCAAAGAATTCCACATAAATGACACTTGGAAAGAGGCTATTCCTAGTTAAATTACCAGCAAAAGCGCCAACCATAGCATTCTCAGGATCATTTAGATCTCTCTTGGCCTGACAGAAAGGAAGAAGAAGACAAAGATTATTAACTGAATTCGGCGAATGAAGTACAACTATATACAGCAATAGTGTTTTACTTCAATTACTCATCAACTACAGAAAAAAAAGAAAAATCCATTACTACAATTTCACACGGACTCATATACTAGCATCGTGTTATTGTTCATATGAATGGTTAAAACTCACGCTCTTGTTCAAAATCGTGCCTGGAACTATACAAGTAAAATCATGAAATAAACAAACCATAAATTTTCACAGATTTCGGGCCTTGGAACAACAGTAAGGTTGATCTGTGTTGTGACTTGAGCATAACAGAATCTAGTCACAAAACAAACACTCCATGTACGGGGCTAAGGCTGCAAACATGTGACCCTTTGGACCACGCAGTGATGGGAGCTTCATTTATTGGGATGTACTTACTTTTTCTTAACCAGAAATTTTCATGTTAAGCAATAAAAAAGCTTACTCAAACAGCCTAAGTCTAGGATAATTTACCCAATCCGACTATAAAATAAATTACTATTTTACTGAAATATTTGGGTCTATGTTTCTGTTACATGGACTTGGTACTTTGGTCCCAATTACCCATGTCAACACGACATGACACCAACGACGAGATGAGGTAGAGAGGAGGAGGAGAAGAAAGATGACCACAACAAACCGGATTATAGATCCGGAGATCCCCAGATCTTCAATCTATAACTCTAGTTGCTAAAAATTGCAGTGATCTCTTGGATTAGTCAAATCAAGAAGTGGTAGTGGCATCAGGTCCATCAGATTAAATGCAGGAGAGGTGGGAGGTTGCTGCAGGTACTTGTTTCTCTTAATCAACATCTAATTGGTCAAAGAGACTGGAAACACTTTTATCAAAATCAGGATACAGGATCTGTGGGAATCCTTGGCAAACTTTCATACAGGGCGCAAATTTCAGGATTAAATATGGAATTTCAGTAATTCACATTTTTTATTAGTCTAATTCCCATTGGTTAGGGGACAATCCACCTTTGGTTTTTGGGTGCCACTTCAAATTTCAAATGTATCATCATCTTTTGGGCCATCAGATACAGGGAGTGTCACCTTCTGAAAATAAACAAAAAGAAAAAGAAAAAGAAAAGCCACTGGATTGCTGGAGCAAGACTGAACCTTCCTCACGCCCTTAGATCATTACCCCAAAGACCATCTAGGCTACGTGTGCTTTAATTTTGTCCAATGTATGATGTGTATTTATCAATTATGAGGTCCATAAAATACAATAGTACACATGACATGACACTTTGGGTTATCCCCCTGTCACTCTGTGCTACTGCACCCTAGATTAAACAAAAGTTATAACTTCATATATTCCACCACTAGCTGTCGTGTATCTCTAAACCAACCCCATCTCATTGGAATTTTTTACTAAATCCCACTTCAATCGACTCTTTTCAACTACCTCATAAACAATTAATTGTGGATAGTATTACATTAAGCAAAATACTGTATATCCCACGTGTCCCCGCATCCGTATCTGTATCCAAATTTTGGACACTGCCCCAAAATTTAAAGATTATGCAAGGCAAATGCATACCCATCACCTGAGTCCATGCAACAGGACTGGTTGAAGAAGATACAATAACGAAGCTACGGAAAGCCATGGAATCTAACAAATTTTTACTTGAGTTTGGTTGACTGAAATTTACTAAAGAAGATTCTGGAGATTAGCGAAGTGTCTAAAAATGAACGAAAGCACTCAAGTTCCCATATCTTAATAAAAAAATGTTAATATTCAATCCTGCACCAATCTTTGCAGCTTTAAAATTGAAAACCACACAATGAAAACTTTGGAGAGATAAATTTCAGAACTGTTAAGAGATCTCTTATATCCCACATTGAAAAATTAGGCCACCAAGGTTTGTTTATACACTTAAGCGGATACTCCAACCATTGCCAATTAGTTTTGGGTTGTGTGCTCTAGCACGGTATCAGAGTTGGGTTTTGTGTGGCATTGCATAGTTGTTTGTTTGTTGACCTCATGTGCGAACCCGGGTCCCACATGAGGGAGGATGTCAAGAGAGATTGTATCCCACATCAAAAAATTAGGACCACCAGGGTTGATTTATACACTTAAGGGGCTACTCCGCCCATTGCCAATTGATTTTGGGTTGGATCCTCTAACAAGAACAATACTGGGAAACCAGCTTGGTTATGTAGCATGAAGATCTATGCTGGAAACTATCTTCCAAACAATAAGTATACAACATAGACGTCTGGTAAGGTTCCTTGGAAATATGCTGAACAGTTTTACGAAAGAAAGAAGTATAAAGTAGGCATATCAATATGACTAAGAACAGGCATGTTGGAGTTGACACCACTATGTAAGCAGTAGGAGGGGAAACAAGTGGACTTCCAATAGCATTAGGCTTAATTCAATAATTTTAAGAAAGCTCTGGTTATGGATGATATAGAGGTGTGTGCCGCAAGCTCAAGATGATGGCCTGTGTTTTATGTAGTTTGCTGACGTTATCATTATGGATAAATGATGGCCGAGCTCAAGACCTAACGAACATGTCTTGAGCAATGACACCGTTGATTTGAATTGAGCAATGCTATGGAATTACAAACAATCATCTCGAGAAGAAAGATCCATATAGACGACCTCAAGTTCTTAGCACCGGGGCTTATTATATGAGTTGAACCAAGTTGAAAATTTTCATGCTAGAATCGTAGGCAGACAAGGGAACAAGAAGGGGCCCGTCTACCCACTCTCGAGATCCCAAAAAAATTGCAACCAAGGGATCTATAGTCTATACACCTTGCCTATGGTTCAGTCATGTAAAGTACATCAAATCTCCTATAGACATGTGCCCTGTCAATATAAGACATAAAATATAAATAAATTGGTATCCACATTTCAATCAATGCAGTTACAAAGATCAGCATTGCTACAGCGAAGGTGGATTAATAGGTCATTTTTATTTTTCATTACAATTAACATTCCCTTCAAAAATTTGTCTCATTGAAACAGACATGCATCAAACTTATTATTTGCTACAACGATTCTTGGCATCACATCTTTTTATATGAAAAACTCTAATAACATAAACTGAAAAAGCTTACCGCCAACTTATAACCTATTCGAAGCTGCTCATACAGGCAGAATTGAATCGCGTCAAATGGTAAATCTCGCAGCAAAAAAGATCCATACCCCTACAGTTTCGAAATTGAACTTCAATGTGCGTGCACAAAGCTCTACATGAAAATTTGAATAACTCATTTCATGCAGATTTTCTTTTCTTTTAATAATCTCAAAAGGCAGGTTATCAAAAAATAAAATCACTGAGAAGGAAACAGTCAGAGCCATTCACATACTTTTGCTTGTGTGTGTGTGTGTGTGTGAGAGAGAGAGAGAGAGAGAGGGAGAGCGGGAGAGAGATTTTATACCGCATAGAGACCTTTAAAACCCTCCTTGGAAACAATAAGGCGGACAGCATCAGGGGCAGAAGCAAATTGACTGGTCTGCATCCTTTGCTTGACAACCTGCAGTCAAGACAAAAATAAAACTACGTAACATCAAAAAAATAGCAAGAAGAATAAAAATAGAAATGCACAATTAACGGTGTCTACCTCTGTTGGAACACGTATCAGAGAAGCAGCAAGCCCTCCAATGGCACCTGCAGTCTAAATGGAATTCAACAGCCTTCTGAAGTAACAACAAAAGGTTTGCTCATGCGGAGAAAAGAAAGGTACTCTTAATACAAAAATTAGAGTTCACGATAAGCTAATTCTAAGAAGCAAAGCTACTTTTCTGACACCTATCTATGTCAAAGACGCATCAGGTATTAATACTAAATCGCAACCCGTAAAATACATGTCCAATATTTCCTACTTCCTAGACATACCAAATAATTGGAAATATAAATTTTACTTTTTAATAGTGTAATTAACACTCCTTAAATACTCTCGCAGTTGCATCCAAAGCAACCATTATAAGACAACATGATGTGTTCTAGTCAGTACATTTCTATGTGAAATAGGAAGCGACACAAATGATAATAAAGCATATTCCATTTGATTTCAAAATAGTGTCCGTCAACATAACTCCATTTTTCTTACAAGTTTGTTGTAATTAGATACTTAAAATGTTATTCATTTCCATGAAGCTGATTGTACATCATACACTATTTATTCATGTTATTACTGTCCCCTTTGAAATCCGTCTCTTGTTTTCTCTGCATAAGTCATATATCAGCATGTCCATAACTGTTGTTTTAACATGCATCTGTATCCATGGTCTACGAAGGCAAATACTGTTCCTTTAGTCTACAACATAATGAGCATCCAAAATCCAATTTCAAGACTCTAGACAAATCAGATGACTATTGGACAGGTTCTGCAGTATTTTCCAACAATTTCTAGGCACCTAATGCACTGAAAATTATAGAAGGTAGATCGGAATCAAAGGCAAATTCAACATTAAAATTAACTCAAGGAGGATTATAATCTGAAAATATCAGAGCACAGGATGCTTAATTGTGATGGCAATGATAATTGTAATAAACTAAATACCTAGCAGAAGAGTAATATTTTTCCTTGACAAAAAACTTCCATACCCTAGTAATGATTTGAGAAGTGCATTTAAGGTCGCAACTAAATGATGTGCCAACGCAAATCTATTCATATCATAAAAGGCGAGGTAAGAAACTCTCACCAGATGAGCAACAGCACTAAGATTTTCGGGAAAAACCTTCAATAATTTCTGCTTTGTGGGTTCATAAACACCGACAAACATGGCAGAAGCCCTGTTATTAGAAGAACCATCATAAAAATCATTCAACTATATCCCATTATTTTCTTAGAAAATAAAACATTAGAGGGGTCCTCTTCTTGCACTAATAGAAAAGACAAAACCATAGTGTAGACAGATAATATATGAAATATACTCAAGGGTTAGGGTTCATACTTGTCAACCGGAAAGACCAAAGAAAGATTGGTAGGAGTAAGACAGAAAAGAGAGGCGACCAAGGGAGAGGAAAAGGAAAGAACAGCCTATGTCTAGAGAGAAAAAAAATGTGTAGGGGGAGTTTTCTACAGAGAGAGAAAACAGTAAATTTCTTCTTGTTTTGAGAAGCGAGCAAGTGGGTGGACTAAGCATATGAGAGGGATGGCAGTGTCCTCTTTGCTACATTATTTCAAGGGGCATGTAATTACCATTATCAACCCCTTTCTCTTTTGGGGGTGGAACACTCGCAGCACCAAGGACACCCATGGGACCTTGCGGCTCACAGGGCATAAGAATTCCTCGACATCAAGAATAACTAGCACCTCTCCCTTGACCTACCAAACCACAACCTCCTAGAAGTGCATCCCCACTCCCCCCATTCCTAGCTGAGCAATTGTCCATGTTGTTTTCTTCAAGATTTCAAAGCTTAAGAGATTTCCTTATCAATATCGCACAACACGTGCTAGTCACTAATCATGTGAAGAGAGGCTGCAATAGCAATTGTGAACTCATTATTGATATTAGGATCCAATTATAGAGACCCCATAAAGGTGAAGGTGAAGTTGAGGTGAAGGTAGAGATTAGTCCTCACTATGCCAAATGGTCTTCCATTATTGTATCTATCTTTGAAGATTTGGAAGGTGAAGGTACATTTAAAGGAGAAGGCTTATGCATGGATAATTTCTCATGCTAAGAGCAGTACTAGTGAGGTCCTTCAAAAGAGGAGACCTAATTATTGTCGTCAACCGCAATGGTGTGTCATGTGCAGAGGTGATCACGAGAGTGTAGACCACTTATTTTTGCATTGTCCTTTGGCACGAGCATTATGAAACAAGTTTTTTTGACTTTGTGGGCTTTTCTTGGGTTGCTCCAAGGACCATGGTATCTATGTTTTGTTTGGATGATGTGGGGCTTGGAGGAAATAGGAAATGTAAGAGCATTTGGCATAGTGCTTTCTTTGCTACATTATAGGTGATTTGGAAGAAATGGAATGAGAATTTTTTAGGATAAATGTGAAGCTAGAGAGACTATAGGATAGACTTTATTTTTCGGCCTCTTTTTGGACCTCAAATGTCTAAGGAGTTTGAAAATATTCCTTTCTTGTGTATTATGATAAGTTGGAAGGCATCGTATGGCTTGTAGTATAATTACTTTCTATATGTTTTCATGGCCTGTCATTGTGTAGGACTTCTTGTCCACACTTGATTTGATTTTCTTGTAATGATTCCTTTGATTATCAATAAAATTTTGTTTCTTATCGAAAATATTATAGAGACCCCAGAAGACAATGGAATAATGCATTTTAGAGTGTACTCACGGTAGGACACCAGCAAGATTTCCAGCCAATCCAGAGTATAGGCCCTTAAGAACTATTTGTCCTCCACCACGAGCTGCCTATAACAAAAATGTAACAGTAACTTAACTGACAAGCAAATAAACTAGTTAAGGAAATGATCTAAATTTTTGATATTATGAACACATTCCATCCTGTCTTTTTGGAGGCTTCACCCCTTTTGATGTGTACAATCTCATATTTGCAAAAAGGGCATTGAAGTGATATGGGACATTAGTCACAACTCAATCATTCAAACTCTGAAACATTGTAAACATCATCTGCATCATGTAGGTTCAAAAGCCGAGAACTAAAAGACCAAAGAAAAAAGTCAAGGGGTCCATACATAAATAGAACAATGGAAAAATCATGTCAGATCTAAGATAAAAGTATTTTTCACCAGCGCATCTCGTAGTCTTGACCAAAAACATAAGATGCAACATCAAAAAAGATAGCACAAATAAAGTTTTCTAAGCCTCATCAAAGTAGCCAATAATGAATATCCATATGTCATAGAACCAGAATTTACTTCCAGACCAGATATTTGCTTGGTCAAAGTTGAGGAAGCACTAAAGTACTAACTGTCAGAGAAAAACAATAACGAGTTCGGATACATGTGCAGAGAGATTGTCAAGCTGGAGGTGAAAGCAACAATTGCTGCCTGCTGCTTATCTACAGCCACGACTCGACACTTCAGCATCTACCAGCTATTATTTCATAATGTCACTGAGGAATTCTTTAATCTTCATTGCTAATCAATAATATATAAATACACTCAGTTGACCTGCCTGCAGTCGTGTCTTTATTGTATCAATTGGATATAAAGCTGTTTCAACGACTACTCCAGCTGTACCTCCTGCAATAACACCCTCTGCATAATTCACCAAAGTAGTTAGAAACATGAAAACTTGACATGTTAGATATATCTATTCCTACTATTAAAAGTAAATTCTATCAGACTAAAACAAAAAGGAGCAAAAGGGAACTGTTTGATTGATTTTTCCCAGATTAAGGAACCAAGAATTGAAAACATATGTACTCAATAATAGATGCTTTGTCAGAACTCTGCTACAAAGTCCTTCTGTAACACAATAGGGCATGGTTTTTTATTTACTCAATGTCACTTCCACGAGCTCATATTACAGAATCGATGAGTTAGAAACTCGGTTCCTTTTAATACATGAAAACTTGTTACATAAGCATTCCTTTATGGATGCATGCCCATTGCAAGCTAAGGATTATGCACAAGGTTTTATGTTTAAACAATGCTTATGGTTTGATGTTATTTCCCTACTACATCTTCTTCAGCTAAGAACTTCATTTTACCATGCTTGATTAGAATCTGACATGCAATACGTACTTTCTATGCAGAGCCATGATACTAAGGTAATAACTCCGGCAACAAACTTTCAGCATACCAAATAAAGTGCGTAAGAAATCAAATGGCTTCTCTTCTCCACTGCTGACTGATGCAAAGAATTTCTTCGGTTCCAACTCCATGTTTTGCATTTTCTCGTAGGATGCATCTGCAAAACCAGATCACCTGGTCAAACAAGAATTGAGGGATGAGAGACAAAGCGTCAATAATCAAAATCATCGAGGCATGGTATTGTTTAGTATGGCTCTTTTGTCTTCCATCTGACATTTGCATAAGCTCATTCCTCAAACATACACA